TTAATTTCTAATACAGTTGCAAATTAGTCAGAGAGTCATAGAAATTGTAAACTGTTTTTAAAGATTTATGTTTTGTAGAACCTTAATGTACGTATAATAACCATCGGAGAGACTAAGGAACAAAGGCATGAAACTTCCTAAATTCCAAAAGAAAAGGACGAATCCATCAATGGCTCTGAAATCGATTTGCTAGTTTCAAGACAAGTTTCGTAAGATGAGGACTGAGGAAGCATGCATACACATGCGTGTTGGTACAAATTTTGCGTTTATATACATATTATGTCGTATAAATACTTTAGGATATATAGATTCACATGGTACAAGCGATCTTAACTAGTGCTAACGAATTCATGTGTGATTAATTAGAGTTTCTTTCTATTCCCAATATGTGATCTCTTCTAGGGATGCATCACCATGTCTCTCATGGTTTCGACCCAATCGCATTTGGTTTGACTACTTCACTTTCTTTTAATTTTATAAGTTTACAAAAACTAGTTAATGCTAATTGGAATCTCGTGAGATATAACTTAGAAGCACACTCTTTATGTTTTAATTAGTTTGAGAAATCAATTATATGTGCTCGTGATTCGTTGGTTTTCTTAATTATAGATTCTTTGTGCATATATCAAATTGGAAAGTCAACCTATATATTTAAACTATTTTACGTATGAGGGAACACAGAATTTAATCATAGATCAAGATCTACTTTTCCAGACTCCTGTAATCTATTTTTCCCCCTTTTAAATGTAATTTATAAATTCCAAAGTCAAATCTCAAAACACATTTTTTGTTATTTCCTAAAAAATTTGTATGCACAACTACCAAGTCATTTGCCACCTTATTTTCTTCCCCATCAACATAGTTTTGACTTCTGATAAGAAATTCCAAACTTAAATTGCATAAGCTATTAGTGTATAGATCAACTATATACTGGATTAATTACTCACTCAAAATTAGTGGGTCAAATGTAACACTTGGTCCATCTTCTTCTTTTATTCGATATAGAAAAATGGTTATTTACTCTATTGCCAAAAACAGAAGAAGGTTATATATATTCTCTTTTGACATAAAAAAATTTGGTTATATACTCTTGCCGACAAATAAAACTTGGTTATTTAAGTAATCCTAGTAGTACGTACGCATATGTATGATAATATTAATTACAAATCTCATATATAACTAAATCGCGTAAAATTTTAAATAAAAAGTTGTCAAGGCAAGCATTTTGCATGAAGTACGCCTTAAAAGAGCAATTGAGGCTTTTGTGTGATGCATGGGGATTCACGTCGTCCTCGCTGACAAAACTTAATAATATACTAACACACACTTAGTCCCATCTCTAGCTTCGAATATGTATATAAGATTGTCCTTAGGTGGAACCCAAAACATATACTCACAGACAAACAAATAGTCTAGTTCTTGATCTTGAATCTTGTAGAGAGAGAGAGATCAAGATTAGATTCTATTCGTCTTACAAAAATGAAACAGACCAATCTGCTGCTATGTAAATTATTCATAGGAACCCTGTTTTGGTTGGGCTCTGTTTTAGTTAATGCAGAAGACCCATATCTGTTCTACACTTGGACTGTTACTTACGGCACACGATATCCTCTAGGTGTTCCTCAAGAGGTATGAATACATATGCACTTTGATTTTTTTTACGTATATATATTAATTTTCGTTATGAAATATTGACATTAGTTCATGCAATTTCTATATTTTGGTACGGTCTAGGTCATTCTTATCAATGGACAGTTCCCTGGTCCAGCGATTGAAGCGGTCACAAACAACAACATTGTTGTTAATCTCATTAACAAGCTCGACGAGCCATTCCTCATTACCTGGTATGTAACTTTATAACTGATATTGTGCTATGTAACTAGATAACTGATTGTGCTAATTGCGCTTAGACAAATATGAAAAAAAATCTTTAACACGGTTTTGTAATATATGTGTAGGAATGGAGTGAAGCAGAGGAGGACATCGTGGCAAGATGGAGTATTGGGAACAAACTGTCCGATCCAACCAAACTCGAACTGGACTTACCAGTTTCAACTTAAAGATCAAATCGGTACTTACACTTACTTCGCTTCCACGTCAATGCATCGAGCCAGTGGTGCTTTTGGTGCTCTCAACATTAACCAGAGAGCTGTTATTACGACTCCTTATCCAACACCCGATGGAGATTTCACCCTCCTCGTCTCTGACTGGTTCTCAAATATGACCCACAAGGTACATACCAATACAAAGCCTATATACATGCACTCAGGATCGTTTCAAAAAGCCTATGTAAATGAATTAAAAGTAAATTTAATGTTTAAATTTGTATATATTCAAATGAAAAATCATGTGCTAATATGCATCATGTGCACACATAAAAGCGTCATTGTATTATACACTAATGTTTTTCTTAACTATTATTGTGATCACTAGGACTTGCGAAAAGGGCTCGACGCAGGCTCTGTTCTTCCTCTTCCTGATGCTCTTCTCATCAATGGAGTCTCTAAAGGTTTAATCTTTACCGGTCAACAAGGTAATGCCATCACATAAATCCATCAATATCAGCCTTTAATTTTACATCATGCATGGTCTTGTACTAAGTCTATGTATTTAATTTCATTGTCTATCTTAAGGTAAAACATATAAGTTCCGGGTATCGAATGTCGGTATAGCGACATCGATAAATTTTAGGATTCAAAATCACACAATGAGCCTCATTGAAGTAGAAGGCGCTCACACTCTTCAGGAGAGCTATGAGTCGCTTGACGTCCACGTTGGTCAGTCCATGACCGTCCTGGTCACTTTAAAAGCTTCTGTGAGGGACTATTTCATCGTGGCCTCAACCCGGTTTACTAAACCGGTACTAACCACAACCGCGAGTCTCCGTTACCAAGGCTCCAAAAACGCTGCATATGGGCCCCTCCCCATTGGTCCTACTTACCATATCCATTGGTCTATGAAACAAGCAAGAACCATAAGGTATTCATACCAAACCGAACATAACCGAACCAAATTGAACCGTACAACTCTAGATGAGTTTTGTTTAATTTGACCCTTTTTTTGTCACTCTGTTTAATTTGACTTTAACTTTCTGATTTTTAGGATGAATTTGACGGCAAATGCTGCAAGGCCAAACCCACAAGGATCATTTCATTACGGGACTATACCGATAAACCGAACTATAGTCCTAGCCAATGCGGCCACATTGATCTACGGGAAACTTCGGTACACGGTAAACCGAATATCATACATCAACCCAACAACACCATTGAAACTCGCCGATTGGTATAACATTTCGGGCGTGTTCGATTTCAAGACAATCATTAGCACTCCAACAACCGGACCCGCTCATTTTGGTACATCGGTTATCAACGTTGAACTTCATGAGTTCGTCGAAATCGTTTTCCAAAACGACGAAAGATCAATTCAATCTTGGCACATGGACGGTACTAGCGCCTATGCTGTCGGGTAAGCAAGCACCTTGCCCTCTCTTATCTAAACCGGGTCCGGTTATTCATAACTTAAACCGTACGTAATTGATTATTTTTTTCAGATACGGATCAGGAACATGGAATGTGACCATGAGGAAACGTTACAACTTGGTTGATGCTGTTCCAAGACACACTTTTCAGGTAATAATAATCTCTATTTAGAAACAAAACGATTGCATATTCTAAGTAAAATAACGATGATTGTGTGTGTGAAGGTGTATCCGTTATCGTGGACAAGCATATTGGTGTCATTAGATAACAAAGGAATGTGGAATCTTAGGTCACAAATATGGTTGAGGAGGTATTTAGGACAAGAGCTTTATGTTCGTGTTTGGAACGATGAGAAGTCTCCCTACACTGAAGCTGAACCGCCTCTTAACGCTCTTTATTGCGGCAAAGCCAAACGTCCCATTTAGAGATTTTTTTTTTCTTTCACGTTTATCATTGTTATCTTTTCTACTGAATTAGGTCACAATTAAGTGGAGTGGGAAAAAAAAAAAGGGTTTGTTGGGAAAGTAGTACGTTTATTTTATTGTCACAAAAGGTAGTCAACACGGAAAAGCAGCAAATTGATTTTACAATAAAAAGGACAAAATAAGAAGGAAGGAAAACACTTTCTTTTGTCTTATGATTTTTTATTTTATTTTTTTTGCTCCCTTAAAATTCAGATTGTGTTCATGCATCTAGACCACATTCCTGAATTAGAAACCAAATTTGATACTAGAACTTCTCAGTTTGAAATCAAATATTGATGTAAATGAAACTGAATTCAAACCAATCCTAACTAGTCATCACCCTTGTTCTAAAAATCGGCCGCCTAGGCGCTGATCGGAAGGGGACCACGGCGATTTTGTCCAAATCGGTTAAAAAAATCGGTGATCCGATTTTTGTCCGTCTAGACCGCCTAGGCGTCCGCCTAGCCCGCCTAGACGGTGCCTAGCTCAATTTTTTTTTCTTTTTTTACATTTTTTTTTTTGATCTAAAATTCAAAACGTCCCACTTATATTCATAGTTTGTATAAAAATCATAAGTTTGACCTTAAATTCTTGTTTTTATGTGTTTAATGCAATTTTAAAAACAAGATTATATAAATTTCTTATTTATAATGGATTAATATGTTTTTAAAACATTAAATAGCCCTAAAACTAATTCCCGATTAATCCCCGTGTAATCTCCGATTTCTTTGCTAGGCGCTAGGCGCACCCTCACCGCCCGACTAGCGCCTAGCGATTTTTTGAACACGGGTCATCACTTATCAATATGCCTTTTAAAATAATTTCACATCCATATGAATTAATTTTTGCAAAATCTCATAGATTTTTATAATGTGAAATTCACCAAAGAAATTTATTACAAAATTTATCTTTATCTCACATTATTTTTCAAATCCCATCAATCAAATCACCCATTTCAGTGGGCAGTAATGGAATTATTTCTTAATATTATTAATCATTGATTTCTTTCTCATTTTCAGATTTGACAAAGACGTTTTGTCGGTAAAAGAAAATGTATTCATTCAAAAATTCTAAAAGTAGATAGATATAGCCACGAAACAGAGTGGTTGACTGACAATAACGAAGAAAGAATCCAGAACCGAAATCTATAACACAAAGACATTTTAAAGCAAAACACTCACGAAATAAAAGAAAGCAACACACTCACGAAAGAAGAAACAGAGAGGATGAAGCATTATGTGCTTGTTCACGGAGGCTGCCACGGCGCGTGGTGCTGGTACAAGGTGAAGCCGATTCTGGAACATTCCGGTCACCGTGTCACGGTTCTTGATCTGACGGCGTCTGGTGTGAACGTGAGCAGAGTAGAAGATATTCAGACTTTGGAGGATTACGCTAAACCGTTGCTTGAGGTTCTTGAATCGTTTGGCTCGGATGATAAAGTAATCCTCGTCGCGCATAGCCTTGGAGGAATACCAGCTGCTCTTGCAGCCGACATGTTTCCTAGTAAAATCTCTGTTGCTGTCTTCGTTACTTCTTTTATGCCCGACACAACGAATCCACCTTCTTACGTATTCGAAAAGGTACATTAAGTTATTAGGGTTCTTTTTCATGTTTTTAATTCTGAGTCATTTTGATCATTAAGATGTGACTGAAAACGCAGCTTATCGGGAGCATTACAGAAGAAGAACGTATGGATCTCGAGTTGGGGAGCTATGGAACAAGTGAACATCCTCTAATGACTGCTTTTCTTGGACCTAACTACTTAAAGAATATGTATCTACTTTCTCCTATCGAAGTAAGTCTCAAGAAAATGCCCTGCTTTAACCAAAACATAACTGGGGACTTTTTTTTTTTTTTTTTGATGAATGATTGTTTGTTGATTGTTAGGATTATGAATTGGCCAAAATGTTGATGAGAGTTGCACCGGCTATTACTAGTAACCTTACGGGGACTAAAAGCTTAACGGAACAAGGATATGGATCGATTAGTCGTGTGTATATTGTATGCGGAGAAGATAAAGGTATAAGTGTAGATTTCCAACGATGGATGATCGAGAACTCTCCGGTTAAAGAAGTGATGGAGATCAATGATGCAGATCATATGCCTATGTTTTCCAAGCCTCATGAACTCTGTGATCGTCTTCTAAAGATTGCTGATAAATATGCGTAAGCAAGACTATGTATTAATACCCTATACCAATAATTTTCATTGGAATAAGATTTTTGAAAACAAAAATAAAATAAAAATTCAAAACAATACAATTCCATTACGATACTATCACTGTATCACTTTCCATCATTCACTATCAATAAAAACAACCACAACAATAGAATTTAGTCACGAGGTAATAAGTAATGTCTAATGAGTCCAAAATAATTGGAAAGTGACACTGACAATTCAATAATAATTGGAGACTACAACCATAAATGAAGAACAACAAAACAACAACAACAACAATAGAAGAAAGGAAAAAGATAAAAATAATAACAATCAATTGAGGAAGAGAACATGAAACATTATGTGCTCGTTCACGGCGGTTGCCACGGCGCATGGTGCTGGTACAAGGTCAAACCGGTGCTGGAAGCTTCAGGCCACCGTGTGACCGTTGTTGATCTCACGGCTTCTGGTGTGAACATGAGCAAAGTGGAAGAGATTCAGACTTTGGAGGATTACGCTAAGCCGTTGCTTAAGGTTCTTGAGTCGTTTGGTTCAGAGGATAAGGTTATCCTCGTTGCACATAGCCTCGGAGGGATATCAGTTGGTCTTGCAGCCGACATGTTTCCTAGTAAGATCTCTGTTGCTGTCTTCATAACCTCTTTCATGCCTGATACAACGAATCCACCTTCTTACGTTTTCGAAAAGGTACATCAAAAACTGACTAGTTCTTTTGATTTGATTATGATAAGTTGATAACGAAATCATTTGGCTATTACACGGATTATCCAATCAAGATTCTGACTTGTGAGTGTAATGGCACAGTATCTCGGTAGTGTTATGGAAGAAGACAGGTTAAATATGGAGTTTGGGACATATGGGAGACATGATCGTCCTCTAACCACTATTCTTCTTGGAACTAAATACTTAGCCAAGAAGATGTATCAACTTTCTCCAATCGAAGTAAGACTCAAGAAATACTCTGTATTTTATTTTTGTTCAAAATCCTAAATGGGACCTTTTTGGTGATTGAGTTAGGATTTTGAATTGGCCAAAACATTGGTGAGAGTCGGACCAGCGGTTACCAGAAACCTGACGGGTACTAGAAGCTTAACGGAGGAAGGATATGGTTCAGTTACTCGTGTGTATATTGTATGCCAAGAAGACAAGGGTTTAACCGAAGAATTTCAGCGATGGATTATCGAGAACTTTCCGGTCGAAGAAGTGATGGAGATCAAAGATGCAGATCACATGCCGATGTTCTCCAAGCCACTTGAACTGTGTGATCGTCTTCTAAGGATTGCTGACAAATACCCGAAATTGAGGTATTAGTAGCAAACTTCAGTTTTCACCACCATGATAGGCAAAGATGTTTCATGGGGGTGACTATTTATATGAATAAGATTCCTGAAAAAAAAACTCATTTCTACAACAATAGCATTGTCAAGATGAGGTACAAAGATAGTGCTTTCTAAGAACATTCAATCATCAATTCAATGAATAACGCCACAAATACAAACTGGTGCATCAGAGAATGCGGATCTCCTTCGACTTGCACCAAACTCGACTTCACCAAGTGACGATGAACTCCAGCCATGTAAACGATGTGTTGTCACTGTCTGATGGATGAAACTTGGGACACCCCGTGTCTAACGGCGTGTAGTTCGAGATTTTGGCCTTGAAGATTTCTGCAATGGGAGAGAAAAAAAGGTTCAGTTTCAGACAATATTCGAAGGACGTGACTGAAGGAAGCACAAATTGAATGCAATTGTTAGATTAGGACATAATGATCTAACAAAATTTATCTGATGAAAATGAGAATTTACAGCCGAAAAATGTACTTACTGTCATAGAACCAAAGCTGGCTCCTGATCCTGGTGTAGCACCTAAGGGGAAACAAATAACAAAACTTAATTATGACAAGAACAAATAGCAGAACTCAAGATTACGACGAGAACAAATCCTGATATCAACTCTACCTATATCAAATGAGAATTAGGGAAACAGACAATGAACTGTACCTCCAAATGGTGAAGGCATAGCAAGTGATGGAGTTGTCTGGCCAAACAAAGATTGAGCGGAACCAAATGTAGAAGCCGGGGAAGACCCAAAAAGTGGCGTCTGTGTGGCAGTAGGGGATGGTCCAAACAAAGACGAGGTAGGAGCAGTAGAAGATGGTGTAGCAAAGATAGAAGACGAAGGTCCAGAAGCAGGTGTGTTGAGAAACGAAAAACCAGCTCCTGAAGAAGGGTTTGATGTTGGAACAGATGTCTGTGGAGGATTTGAAGCCCCGGGAGTGGCTGAGCTGGCAATCAACCCAGTAACCTGTGTTGAGGGTTGTGTACTTGTAGTAGAAGCAGGAAGATGCAGAGTTGGATGGACTCTTTTAGCAGCTGCTTCCTGCTTTGCTGTCTCCCTTCGATCAGCCTCAAGAAACGGATCATGGCATTCTCCTCTTCGGCGCTGGTCAGCAAGATACGATGTTCTCATTGATTCAATATATTGGTGAATACTCTCTACCTGAACAAATTCAAACCAATAAAAGGTTACACAGATTTCAAAAAGGGTTTCTACACTGGACTGGAGGTTTAGTAGAAAGAATCATTAAGCGGTTTACCTTAGCAGCCACATGAACAAAGAAGTCATGAACATTAGACATGACTTTTGGAAGAGATTCTAAAAGGGAAGCATGTCGATTATACTTGTCAGAATCCAAGGCGAGTAATTGCTCCAGCTCTTCAACCCATTGGCGGCACTCATTTAGATACTTCTCAAACCTTCCAACTGTTTGCAGTAGAAAAGCTGTTGGTTTCTTTGGAATCCCACGGTAAAAATCAGAAACTTGAACCGTCGTAGTAACAGCTTGTTGTTGACCAGAGGAAGCTGGAGCTGGATTTGTTCCCTGCCCCTGGGATGGTTGAGAACCAACACTAACAACTCCTCCTCCTTGTTTCCAATGAGGAAATCTTGGCTGCAGCATCATAAAAGACCGAACTGCAATCTCCGCATTACGCAGCATATCTTTGGCAACAATCATAAGCTCATGGAGAACAGCTTTTTGTCGGTCCATGGCAGTATTAATCCCACCAAGCTCCTACACAAGTTAACAAACGAAGCTCTTACACAAACAAACTTGAGCTAACCAGAAGATTCCTCTAGGAAACAATAAAACGGAACAATCCACAAACCTGAACAATGCGGCTAGCATCAAACTCAAACCCTTCACTGGATACAGAAGAATCATAAAGTCGACTACACTGATCTAATCTCTGACTTTCACTTCTATGCTCCAATATCTTCTCTCTAAAGATAACACACATAATCGATAAGCATCAACGGCATCAAAAAGATTCTAAATTTATTAAGATTTCACAATCTGAACACGAACAATTCAACAAATCACCGTAAGCTCTAAAGCAAAGCCTAAGGAGAAAAAGGAAACGAATTTACGCGTTTTAAAGAAAAACATACTCAATCTGAAGCAAGAGTTTCTGAGAATCGGGATGAAGATCGGCCCATTTGGTACTGTAATTCGCCGGAGCTTTATCGTTGGTGAACAAATACAACTGTTGTTGTACTTGCTGCTGCTGTTGCTGATTTTGTTGTTGCTGCTGCTGCTGCTGGAACTGTTGCGGCTGAAACAACGACGGTTGCTGTTGCTGCTGCGGTTGCGATTGCGAGAAGATGGAATTGGTTTGCTGCGGTTGCGATTGGGAGAAGATGGAATTGGTTTGCTGCGGCTGAAACAACTGTTGCTGAGTTTGAAAAAGCGACTGAGGCGTCTGTTGTTGCTGTGGGGTCAACAACGACATTGCTGGATATAACCGGCGGCGAATCAAATCTAGGGTTTATATCGCCGGCGACGATTTGGAAGTTGAGCAAAAAAATTCAAAAGCCCCTCTCGTTAAAATCAATTAGTTGGAGACGGGATAGAATTATTAGATATTCATATTTAATAGCTTTCTTTCACTTTGTAACAAACTTGGAGGGCTCTTTTGCAAAAACCAGTTTTATGTTAAAATTTTGTTTTTAAGGGATTTCGGTTTGATTGGACCAAAATTCATATACCGCTTAGCGGTGGTTTATATACAACATGCTGAATCTGATTTGGCTAAGAAATTTTATTCTAGTTTCATAAGTTTTGTTAAAATCATAATGAATCTTGAAGACTAACAAATAATGATATGAATAAGAAAGGTCTCTTATTTAAAGACTTAAAAAATAAGGTTTCTTCAGGTTAATATGGTGAAAGGGAAAGAGTTTAAATCAGCCGAGGAAATCTTTCATTGGATCCTCATGGTGAACTCTCTTCATTCTATAAGCTTCCATATCTTCCGAAGTCACATCGTTGGTGTATTTCACATTGTATTTGCGTTTCCTCTCATCTTTTTCTTCCCTCTTACTTAGATCCTCCTGCACACAAACAACAACACGTCAGATAAACCTTGCAGGGTCTTGGCAAGTGAAACTATCAACTGAAACTGTGGTCTCTTACCTTTTTAAGAGCATTGGCAAGTGCCTCCTCGTTCAATTCCAAATCTTCAGGAATATCGGTTCCCCATGTCGCCATTCTCTTCTCTTCAACCTCCTTCGGACTCTCTGATCACCAAAATACAAAACCAATGTTACAAAACATATGCAGAAATGGGTGTCTTCAGACATTCCTCAGAAGTAATTTTCTCATTCAGTGCAACAGGGACAAAATAAGAGACTAGAAGAACAAACAGAGTCAACAACACAAACCTTTAGAAGCTTCTTTGCGAGCAATATTAGCCTTCATCAGATCAAGGGACGCCTCTGCAGCTTCAATTCCAGCAGAACCTGTGCAGTAGCTGTTGCGAATGGTCTGCTGACAACATTTATATCCCCATTGGTGATCTTTCCACCATGAACCCCAAACACTTGTGTGATTGTTAGCATGAACATCTTCTTCATATTTGCTCTTTGGAATTATCACCTCCTGTCCCTTTTTAATCCTGCCTGCCCTGTCATACTCAACTTGTCTTTCACTTTGGCCAAGCAAAAGCTCCATCGGAATTTCACCTTTGGTAGCTGCATTCCCGTACTTTTCCATGATTGTGTCTTTTGTCTGAGATTTTAGTTTTTCCTTTGCAACTTTAAAGTTCTTATAGAGCAATTCAGCTTGGGATGGAGCTGCTTGCATATGCATGTCTTGTCCCTTGTCAAATGCTTCACATGAATGGACGTTTAGCTGTTTGAACTCCAGAGCTTGGCCACTGTTTCTATATTGATTATCTCCCTGGATAGATGATAAGAAAGAAAAAATGGTTAGTATTTTGATATCATCAAACAATAATAGATACAAGTACATGATTCACGATGATCAGAAACTAACCAAATAGAATTTTTCATTTGGATCTGCATCTGGAAGTGGATCTTCACGCATGGATCGAGTTTTCGGGTCATAATGAGCTGAGTTGACATCAAGATTCAACAGGTATTTTGCAGTGTCTTCTCTGATACGCAGATTCCTGAAATTAAGAAAAGGTAACACCATTATTGCATCAAGTAAAAGCACCAATTAAACCTATGTTATCATTATTGATGAAGAGTAGTCCATACCTAACAGTTCCTGTGCTACCACCACCTGTTGTTCGAACACGTTTTTCAACCTTTGCAAAATCCATCTGCCTGCTCTCATCAACCTTGGCTTCATCGACCCTTAAGTCGTCATTGTCTTCCTCCCCATCACTGGTTGCATCATCACCGTTTTCATTATTGTTCTTCTCCTCTAGTTTCTTAAGTTGCTGCTCCTTGAGATACTTCTTTCGTGCCTCCTCTTTTGCATCATAACGATCTACCACATGACGGTAGGATGAAGGATCATAACCATTCCATCTGTCCCTCTTCCCATCATAGTCAAGTTCAAAACTCTCGATTTTCTCATCAGCTGCAATGTTCATGTTTGTGTATTTAGCTCCAATCTTACGAGGTCTATCCATACATGCTTTAGAACTGTGAGTCATTGCACCACAGTTTATACACGCTCCCTTGCGGTATTTTTCGGCTTGATGGATCTTTGCACCTCTATCATACCATATTCTTTTGAGTTCGGGTTCAGTTTTCCAATTCTTTTGATGCTTCAAACTCTGTACGAACCAACAAAAAAGTATTGAGTGTGCATGTTTCAACCAAAGGCAATGCAGAGAAGCAAGTGAAAACATAGAAGAATTTTGGCATACCGGTTTTTCAGACTTGAGATACCAAGGAGCTTTTGACATATACTCAGGTATGTGAGGATTGATTTCTTTGCCATCCTCATCGACCTCAGCAGGAGCAAGACCAGCTTTACGAGCTTCCTCTAATTCTAATTTCTTCCTATGATCTTCCCTAGACTTAAAAGCAACTGCAGATCCCATAGAAACATATATCAGACAACATTGAAAACACAATCAAGAAATCGATCACTAACAAAGAGAAGAAAATCACCCAAAGCATCAAACTTTAAATCAGAATCCTAAGTAGTATCACCAGATTGAATCTAACCAAAAACCAAAACCCGTAAAAACCCTAATTTTCAAGTATGTAAATTTAAAGAAAGAAGAAGATATCAGAAGCGAGATTCTTGATGACCAACGGGAATTTAACAGCGAAATCGAGAATTAGGTTCAAGTAGAAGAAGAAGAAATTGAAGGAATCGTGGTACCTGAAGCCGTCGCCATGATTATTACGATCGTTAAGCTTCGTCTAGAGAAAAAAAAGTGCGAAGAAAGAAGCTAAGATCTAAGATATATAGAAAAAAAGGTGCGAAGAATGGCGGCTTCTTCTTTGCAACACAATTTTGGATTTGTGATCAAATATGGGCCGTTATTAAAGCCTAAAGGCCCATTAATAAAAATAAATTTTGTATTTACATCAGAGATATTTATTTTATTCCCACAATTAAGCTAAATATGATTTCCTTTTCTTATTTTGGGTCAAAATTTCCATTTTACATCCAATCAGCATTTTTATTAGCAAATTAAGCACATTTACCAAAAAAGGTAAAAAATATTTTGAATTTTAAAAGAGTAAAAAAACCCGACCGTTGCTGTTCCTCTCCACTCACTCACTCACTCACTAAAGTAAAAAAAAATCTGACCTTGAAAAAACCATTTCTTCTTCTTATCCAGAGAGATCCAAAGAGAGAGAGGGAAAGGTTAGAACTTTGAAACCAAAATCAGTTCATCGATCTCACAATGCCTGCGTTGAGAACGAGAGCCAAATGTTCGATTCCCATCTCAAACCCTAATCCAACAGTCGGTGGAAACCCAAACGTCTCGATGTACGAGAAATGCAGAGAAGACAGGATCAAGGAGAATCTTCAGAGGATGCAGAATCTCGGAATCTTCGATCTCTCTCTCAAACTCAAATCCGATATCCGACCCGCCAAAAGGCGTTACTGTAACTCTAATCCGAATCCAGATTGTAAATCGCCTCCTCTTCAGCTCTCCGTCTCCACCAGAAGATCCTCAAGGTACTCTCTTCGTTTTCAGTCTCTGACTTCTCTCGATTTTGTTCACATTGCTTCAATCTTCCAAATTAGGGGTTTAGAGAGAAATCTAGGGGTTTTAAGTAGAAATCAATGTTTATCATTTCGTTGTTTTGTCATCAGATTGAAGCAGGAACCGCCAGTTACTCGGAGATCCTCGAGGTAATCTCTCGTCGTTTTCAATCTCTATGGTTCTCGTTTGTTGTTTTGATTCTGTTCAAAATCAAGGGTTCAACAGAAAAATAAGATTTTTAATAGAAAGTAATGATTTTTATTGCCTTCTGTTGTGTTCTTTTAGGTTGAAGAACGCAACGCCAGTTAGCTACGCAGAGGAACCTGAGAAGAAGGGTAAAGCATCTAAAGAAGAGAGTGTTTTGTGGGTAGGAGAAGGTGTAAGGCCAGAGATTTACACTGAGGAACATGAGAAACTGTTAGGTAACACAGAACGAACTTGGGAGCTATTTGTCCATGGTTACGACAAAGATGGGAAACGGATTTATGATCCTGTTAGAGGAAAGACTTGCCACCAGTGCAGGTTTGTGCACTTGGCTTTAACTCTGAAATTGGTAGCTTGATTTGGTTAGATTGAGGCTAATGTGCTTAATGGTTATTGTGGATGTTACAGGCAGAAGACGCTCGGTTATCATACCCAATGCAGCCAGTGTAACCCTTCGGTCCGAGGTCAATTCTGTGGAGATTGTTTATACATGAGGTACATTAGCCTCCATGCCACCAAGTCCTTGTCTGTCTTGTGTTTTGAGTAGTCTTTTTGTTAAGAATCATTTAGCAATTGAATATCTTGCTTTGTTCAGCTAAACGAGGATTGGTTCTGAATGTTTTAGGTTATATTTTGGTGTTTGAACAGATATGGAGAACATGTTCTTGAAGCTCTGGAAAACCCGGACTGGATTTGTCCAGTCTGTCGCGATATCTGCAACTGCAGTTTATGTCGTAAAGACAAAGGGTGGCTCCCAACTGGCCCAGCTTACAGGAAGGTAACAATTTCGATTATTATTATCCATTGTGCAAATTCTGATTTTGATTCCTTGGATAGATTCAAAATTTAATGGCTTTTCTTTTGAATTCTTTTTTTGTTTTCAGATACTTAAACTCGGGTACAAGTCTGTTGCACATTATCTAATTCAAACCAACAAGCAGTCGGAAACAAGTGACGATGATGAAACTGAAGGCGCTGCAAATAGTCAAGCTTCTGCTAAGAGATCGCTTTCTTTTAAAGACGCAAAGGAATCTTCAGAAGAAGATCATCTCCTTCTCTTAACTGATGGGATTCAGGACAATCACATTGACGAGAATCTCGATGATGATGGCACAAATAAGAATCCGGATTCAGCTAGAAAGTCATTAAGCTTCTTGTCTTCTGGGGACAACCAAACTTCAGTGATTGATGGTCATGTTATAGGTGATGTCAAGCCATTAGATGTGAACGAGATGC